AGAGAGAGAGAGAGAGAGAGAGAGAGAGAGAGAGAGAGAGAGAGAGAGAGAGAGAGAGAGAGAGAGAGAGGAGAGAGAGTTGAGGTTGAGGATGGACATGGATTTACGCTTTTTTTTTCGTTCCCTTTTTTATCTGTGTATATAAATTTTGGTGTCGATTACGGACAATTCGCCCTTGTCTTTGCGGCCATATACTCGTCCTGTTGTTCGATTTGGTTCGTCATCGATGTTTTCTTTTTTTACTCTCCTTCTCCGGAATCTTCTTTTGCAAATGATGTATGGATGGTTCGCGCACCCTCGCCTTTCGTTTTTTATCGTTTCCTGCGAACCCTCGTACATAAGGAATGAAAATGGGGATTGCATGTTGGCGTGATCAATAGAGTGTGTTGGCTTGTCATACGGGGAGTCTGGAGCGCACCATCCGACGTACCATATGGGCACATGCAAGTGCGATCCGGACGGAGCGCGGCTTACATGTGTCCATACCACTCGGACTCGCCAATCGCGTCTTGGCTAACGCGCATAGCCAGCCCCTCGTTGAAGTAGGAGTCGATGTCAATCGGGATCGGGTTACCCATCACGCGTAAGTGCGCGTAAGTGCGACTTGTTTGCATCTCTCTTACGCACTTACGAGCGGTGATCTCCCCGATTACTTATCCCCCAAGGCGTGAGTGATGAAAGAATGACGAGATCGCGGAGTTCCGACGTATCTTGGAATTTCGAGGATTACGAGTCGTATTTTGGGTACCAGGAAATCTGGGGAGAAGAGCAACTCCGATTAGGGGGAAGTTTGAGGAACCCAGTGTTCCCCTGCCTCACAGAAAACGATAGATTCTGCGCTAGGGAATTCCATCTCGCCGTACGAAGCGACCTGCGGGGACCCGACTACCCAAACACGTACAACACGCAGTATTTCATAACCCCCGGCTTCGTCCTTATTGCCACTAATTTCCCACCATACCACCTCCTCCTCCCCTATCATCAGCTTACAGTAGTACCGTGGAATTCCATAGCACCTTATTGGCCCTCCACCCCGTGCAGAAGCTGCAGGCGACGTTCCCATACCCGAACCCCCGAAGCCTTGGCACCTCGGCATAGTTCCCACCAGCCCACGCCACGTGGCGGGCCCTGAAGGCGTAGGCTCCAAGGACCGCCTCGACAGGCTCCCCAGAACTGGCGATCGCGTCAGGATTAGACGGCCCCGCACAACCAGCGTGCAAGCCCGCGCCCGTAAATTTTCCCATTGCTCTATTTTATCTATGCCCCTGAACCTTGCCACTGGAGATCTTAGTTCCGACCAGGGACTCCACCCCCACTTTCCAAAAATCCTTGGCCCACCCCTTTTCGCACTTCCAGGCCCACATCCCACTCCGATCAGGAAGGCGAGCCGGGCGTGAGGTTGGGCGTCACAGGGCCGGGTGACAGGGGGCGGAGGGG